GAAAATGGCCATTTTGGGCAATTCTAAATTCTAATTTTTCAAAAGCAACTGGGTCAAATCACACATCATTACTATCTAATATTCCATCATATCACTGTAATGATCCTTTATCATTGGGTACTTGATACCTCTCGCTTTCTAACCTTCAATAGGTACACAAAAACCACTGATGCTGCTGGAACAAATAATTTGGAGAAGTAAAACCACGTATTCTTCCTACTTAACGCCACGAAAACACACTCACCTGACGTCAAAAACTGGGTTGATGATTGTCATTAAAATTTTTCAACAAGTGCATGCATTCTCCGCTTACCATAAGAACCGGCAAGAGAAAAACACGGTATAGTCAAATCGTTCAGTACTGCTGCAAAACTGAATGTATCAGCAGAGCAAAAACGATATTAGGGGGACCTAGTAGGGCAGGGAGTGGGGTGAGACTAAAAGGAGACCTAACATATCAAAACATTTTTGCAAATAGATAGCAAGTGTCCGATCTTTGGCAGCTGGCATTTTATCCAGATTCTGAACGGATGCCAATGATCAAATATGTGGACTCAAAGGGCTTTGTTGTTGACTTAGAACTTCAGATATAAGAAGTGAACCTCGCTTTTGTCCGGGGATCTCTCTAAGAAAATTAAGGATAAGTTGGTTGCATATTAGATAGACGAAGCTGACGTTGAAATCTCATGTACTCCTTTTTGGCGGCGAAATGGGCTGATGGATTTAATGTAGAATGAAACCGTCAAATGGTTAACAATTAACGGGTAGAAGTCAAGAAAGCCGTTGCAACAAAGCTGTTCTAATATAGTAGATGGTGCTGTCTTGGGTAACAGAAAAAACGGGCGACATATTGCTGAAGTTTGCACTATAAGCTAAATAGCCCACTGAGCGTCTGAGGATTGCTGTAACTGATTTAATACGAAGTCGCTCAATCAAATAGACTTTCCAACACGCCTACACCTCTATACTCTGATTCAGAATAAAAATCAACTTTCTCCTATCCTATTTGTAAATAGCCCATAACTCCCTAATATGAGATAAAACGGAAGTTTATAAACAACAGATCCAGTCTACACCTGTGGACCTTTTTCTTCTCATCAACCTTTGCGTCTATTTAAGATTACTGAGAAAACTCAAAGTAGACCACTACTCCACCAAGAATAACGTTCAAGCACATTACAACTTTGAAGAGAAGGAAAGCGCAAAAAGCGTTTTTTCAGGTCTATCCCTCTTCCCAGTAAAGTCTATGAGCCTGCATTTTTCGTAAACATCGAATGTAGTGAGTACTCAGATACCTGCTTTGAAGATCGTTGTATATCCGCAGAAACGACTACACGGAAAAATTGATTGATTAACAAAAATGACGTATCCCACTGGTCCTACAATGAATTATGCAATTTTGGTTCTTTTTTAAAACGAAGTGCTCACTTCAAGACATTTTTAACTAGCAAATTAGCTAACCGTTTTCGGTTGTATAGCGGAATGCGACAATTCCAAAAAATCTAATAATAAATACTGATTTTGAGGAGCGCGCTTCGAGCTTAATGGGGTTTCCTTGTTTCCATCTATTCCGAGGTCTACTCCTTCCCACTAAGTGTCAAGCACGTAAGCCTGCAGACCTGTTTACATTTAGCTGACCAAGATGACAGTCAACAACAGCAATTTAGATAATTTAGGAGTTCGTGTTTCTTTGATAAGCGGTGATATTGATACACCCAGAATCATTTGGTTTATTGTCTCATTGTGCGGGGGTGACTCTGGGTGTCGAACGCGAATTACAGCGGAGTTTTGCAGCCCAGCAGGGTCTCTCAAGCTGAGAAGGTTCGACGTTTCCGGCTCCTCGGATGCCCAGCTAATAGTATGGTTTGCCAGAAGCGCCATCATCTGGCT